CCCCAAAGTTCTGCCTAAACACCATATAACTCTTCAAGATAAGTTGTACGCATTTTTTTAAGAATCCAAAGGCTTGGCCCTTAGGCTATTAGTTTTAGATAATATCCTCAATGATTGACATTTGACACAGATAAGGATGATATAAGCTTCATCAATAAATTGGTCATGAAGAAAAGTTGTATGTGAATAGAGGCGGAACTAAGAGTTTGAATTTTATGAATTCGAAAATTTAAATTTTTTAAGTTATTGGATTATAAATTAATAATTTTTACATATTCAATGAATTTGTAAAGATAAATAAAAACTAAGTTCGGCTGAAACCATAGACAACATGTTTGGCTTCGCCACTGCATGTGAAGCCTTAACTGTTGATCCACCATTTTTTTTAATTTCATGTGAACAAGCTAAGTCAGAGAATATGTAAGGTGGAGTTAAGATCTGAACTATATTCGTTTTGGATTTTAGGACACGATTTCAAATACCGATAACTGGATTCTGCATATAATTTTATAGTTAGTGTTTCTAAATACATATGCAAGATTTGAACCAAAATTACTAAATTTTCCTAACACATATATTATGTACTACCTTCGACATTAAATGTGTACATGTGACCAGCTCTTTTTCACAGCTAAAAATATTCTGAGGCCATCATTTTTCAAATCATATGATGGATAACAATAGAACATGCTCTTTGTTTGTTTCTGTCCTCTCTTTCTCTTGGAATTATTTGAGTTTATAATATTCCTCTTTTCTTTTTTGGGTTCACTCATTTTGGTGAAAATGACTTTCTTATCTTACCAAAACTGGCTATTTGTGGATGTGTTATTTTTTAGAGAAATAATCAACTTTTTTTTGGGTTACTAGAAATAATCAATTCTAGATATGAGAAAGATGCTTTTAATGTCTGCTTCAAAAAGATGTATGATCTTGAACAGCTAAAAACTTACATTTTCATATACATAAAAGTAGTGTTTGCGTCAGCTTGCACACAAGTCGCATCAACACATGTACTAGGTAACTCTACCTATCAGGTTTAGGTCGATGAAAAAAAATCATCTAGCGTTATTTGTCTTTATTAAAAATTGAACCTTAGTCTAATGATACCACTTCATTAACCTCTAGACTATGTGAATCAAGTGCAGAATTCAGCACCACATTCTCATTTTTTTTTTTTTTCAAATAAAATTGAGATTGCTTTCTTTTATCATGACAAGGACCACTTCCTTTAGTGGAACTCAGACTTTTGGTTACTTGTGAAAGTTTGCAATTTGGCATGATTGGAAAATCACATGCACCTGGCCTAAAAATCTTAAAGATTTTGTCATTATGGTAAAAGCCCATTTCACCTTAATGTACTTTCATTATTATAAGGACTTCAGCCAAGGGTACTAAGTAGGAGGTTGGACATCAAAATTATAATTTTTGAAAATATTGAGAATTTAAAATTATGTTTGGACACGCATTTCATTTGAAAAATATTACAAATTGTGAGTGGGAAAAAAAATCCAAAATTTTTGAAAAAACTACTTTTTGGTTTTTGAAAAACTTATATTTGCAAAATCTTCAAAAACGTACATAATTTTATGGACAAACACGTTTTGGAAAAAATTACCGGAAAAAAAGGAAGAAAGAAAAAATCTATGCACAAACGGGTCCCAAATTTTATGGCTACAGGCATTATGCTGTTGATCAGTGATGGCAAAAGGCAGTCTGCAGTTGAACTGTGATCATAACAAAAATTTCACAGTTGCTTGAAAAAGCATAGACCCTTATAAAGAAAAAGCTAACTTTATGATTTTGCACAATTCAAAGCCACTTTACATTTCAATACAACCTGTAACTTCTGCTTTCCTAAAAGAGCAATTCAAGAATACAAAGAGAAAGAGATTCATTATACAAAAGAGTCAGAAGACAAGAAAAATCTTAAGCCGAAAAATCCCTATCCAGCAATGTTCCAAAACTACATTACATCCACACTAAATCAAAGCATCAGAGTTAAAAAAAGCAGGAATATAAAACAGAAAACAAAAAATAAAAAAATGTTGTTTGCGACTCGCGGCAAGGAGGAAGAAACAGAGAGAATGAACAACCAAACCTAGATCAAAGAATGCCAACTTCTCACCTGCCATCAGAAGATGTGAATGACTCGGCAAATCCGTAGGGGCGAATAGGTATACTAGTTTGAGTGTTATCCAAGCTAGGAAGGTAAGAAGAAGAGGATGAATCCATGTGAGCAGAACCTTCATAAGATTGCCATTTCTTAAGAGCCTGAGGCAGTGACATATCAAGATCGATGCCATATATGTCGTCTGAGCTTTGCTCGGATGGTTTCCAGAGCTCCACAAGAGATGAAAGAACATTGACAGCGTGACCCATGTCGGGCCTTTGATATGGCTCCCTTGCACAGCAGTGACCGGCTAGCTCAGCAACGGTGCTGATACTGGCGAGTGTTTCCTGATCGCTCAGGTCAATCGCGGGGTCGATTGCTTTTCGGAATGTATCCTTATTCAGATGCATTCTTCGAAACCACGATACAAGATGCATGCTCTCCTCAGGCTGGCTTTCATCAAGAGCCTTTCTTCCTGTGATGAGCTCCATCAAAATCACACCGAAACTGAACACGTCCACCTTGGTTGTAACTCTCCCAGTTACTGGCAAACAAATCAAGAGAAAACAAGTTAATATGATGTATCTACATTCGAAGAACTCATTCCCTGATCATATCACAATCAAGAAAGCAAGATGCAAGTAATGAATTCGGTTGGCTATATTTGAAGATTCTTGACTTTCACCAAGGGGAAAATAAGGAAAAAGAAAACAAGAGGATTTTCTTTTAGGGGAATAGCGACCTTCAAAGCGCGAGATTGTGCTAAAGCAGAAAATGATGGTGTAAAGCAAGCATCAGGAAATAACGTGTCCTGTAGTATGGGTATCAACCTGCAGAAACTAAGTGATCATAACTCTAAAGGGGTCGATAGGATCAAGGATATTTGATATAATACAGTAATTGTCGTACGTGAATGACAAGTTCTTACCTATGGACTTTAGCATAAGTTGACTTGACTAAGGGAGGGAAACATAACTATATACAACAGATAAATTTGCACACATAGGATAGACCAATTATAAAACGGACAGCTGATCAATCTGACTCTTATCGACCTATCAAAAAAAAAAAAAAAGGAAAAGAAACCATCTGACTCTTATCGGCCAAATGACTGCTAATTCTCAACAAGCATTCCTGAGATCCATCTCCTAAGCTTCACACAACTAATACTTTAGAGGTTGGACTTAAAAACAAGTTTATTTAGGCACAAACTGCATACAAATATTAAAGCAACAATTAGCATCAGAAGGCACAAACCCGTAAGCAAAATGAATACCTGCATATTCTGGTGCCAGATATCCGAATGTCCCAGCAATCCTTGTCTGTATAGAACCTTTCCCTTCAGGAGCAAGTCGCACAAGGCCAAAGTCTGCAACTTTAGCCCTCATATCATCCCCTAGTAGAATATTTGAGGGCTTCAAATCCCTATGAATGAAACTCTGGTGGGCTAAACTATGGAGGTACTCTACACCTCTAGCAACATCTAATGCAATGGTCAATCTTTTTGTCCATTCCAGGGGTTTCAGCGCTTCCTCTCTCCAGTTGAAAAGATGACTGCTTAATGTTCCTTGAGGCATGTATTCATAGACTAGAAGCTTCTCGTTCCCATCAAGACAGTAGCCAAGTAGTCCAACAAGATGCCTATGCCTGACCTTGGTCAAAACAGCAATCTCGGATTTGAATTCAGTAAGTCCCTTCCCAGCGATGAATCCACAATCCATTCTCTTGACGGCAATCTTCGTTCCATCATGCAACTCTCCTTTGTAGACGGTACCAAAGCCTCCCTGCCCTAGTATGTTCTCTTCGCTAAAATTGTTGGTCACATTCTTCAGTACTTGAATGGATATCACCATATTCCCTGCTTCAACCATTTGAATGTCACCGGTTTCACTAGTAGAAACGGTATGAACTTCACTAACTGCACCAACACTGACAACGCTGGACCCGGCAACTGTGATCTTCACGCTATCATTGTCAGAACCAGAATTGCGCGGCTGCATCACCACGGTGTTTGGACTTTGCACTTGGCTAAAACGCTTTTGTTTGCTCCTGTACAGACAGAAAGCTGCTGCACCGATGAAACAAAGCACAAAGACACCCCCAATTACAGAAAATAACACAATTCCAATCCATCGATTGGACTTCTTACGAGATGCTTGTGCATCACCATCAGAACCAGAGCCTGGCGAACCACCTGGAGAAGTACTGCCTTGGGAAGTTACATCACTCTTATCCTTTCCGATATCAGGGTTACCGCCAGTTTTCAGAATCATATTATTCCTAAATGCTGGTACTTTTCCATAAATTTGGTTGTTCGACACATCTAACTCTGCAAGGCCCGTCAATGTGGTCAGCTCCTCTGGAATTGTACCGGTGAGGTTATTATCTGCAAGAACTAATCTTTGCAGTGACTTCAGTGAAGCAAATTCAGGAGATATTGTTCCTGAAAGCCCCATTTTCTGGAAATTTACAATTGTAATGTTACCATTGGTACAAGTAAGACCAAACCAATCAGCACACGGTTCATTCCCCTTCCAGTTCTCCGCAAACTTCCTTGGATAATCCATCGCTTTTGCGATTGAAAGCAATGTATTTACTCTAGGATCACAATCACCTGGTTGTGGCAAACAAAAGCTGTTTGTATCTTTCGTCAAATCAACCGAGACTGAATCTTTGAACTTAGGCATTGGTCCTTGAAATAAATTATTCGTCAAATTAACGAACTTCAAAGACTCAAGATTCACTAAAGAAGCTGGCAAAGGACCTGTAAAGGAATTATCTCTAAGATTCAATACCTCCAAATCCTTTAATCCTGAAAAATCCGGCAACGGGCCCGAAAATCCATTGGAATGCAACCAAACCTCTTTCAAGAATGTCATATTTTGTAGAACATCAATTCCACCACTAAGTTTTTGCCCATTTAACCACAAAGACTCAAGCAACAAACCAGAAAAGCTAGAGGGCAATTCACCCTCCAAATTATTAAGAGCCAAATGCAAATTTACCAATCCAGGAAACTCATCAGGGCTAAAAAAGCTAGGAATTTTCCCACTAACATTAGCTGAATTTGCTGAAAAATTCTTAAGGGACGAAGCATTTTTAAGGCTCTCAGGTATTTCCCAACCAAGAAGAGGATTATTATCAACTTCCACAGATTGTAATGAAGACATTCCAGTAAAGAAATCAGCAGGAATGAAACTAAACTGATTGTTACTTAGCATTAACACTTGTAATGAACTTAAACCACTTAAACTAGGCAAAGGGCCAGAAATATTGTTCCATTGAAGCTCTAAACGCTCAAGCTGAGTAAGTTTAGAGAGTTCTTGAGGGAGATTACCTTGAAGATTCTTGTGACCAATTTGGATCCGGGTCACCCGTTTATCATCTGAACAACCCACATGGTCCCACTTACATGGATCCGGGTCAAGCCAACCCAGTTCTTGAGGTGAGTTTAAGCTCTTTTTCAAAGCTAACATAACTGAAGCATCATCTTGAGACTGTACTACACCAAAAAATAATGCAGAAATCCCAAGAACCAGAAAAGTTACAAGCTTTAACCCAATAAGGGTCTTCATTTTTCTTGTAAAGATTGAAACTTTATGAGATTATAAGGAGAAAAGAAGAAGTTTTTTTCATCAAACAAGAAACTGAGAGTTGCTTATTGCAAGTTTTGAACAAAGTTTTTCAAGAAGATTATGAAATGTGAGGAGTTGTTTGAATTAGGAAGCAAAGGTTTGAGAGTAGAGAGCAAGAGCACATGGAGGGAAAGGGCCCCACAAAACTAAGGGCCCCACAAAAACTGAAAAGCTAAGAATGGGAAGTTGAAATAGCAGCAAAATGACAGTAATTAAAAGCTGGATGATTCTTGAGAACATGGTACTAAAAAAAGGACAAGTTGGCAGTTGATTTTTGTGTTTGTCAATTGTTTCTTTCTTTTTGGTTAAATTCCAAAGTATAAATACATATATCCCTAACTAGTTGTAATCATTTGTATGTTTAGTAGTATATGATTTTGTAATTCATGATTTTTATTATTGTTAACAGGAAGAAACTAATGTCTTTTAAAAGTAGACTTAACAAGTGGTTCAACCAATCATCATAAATCATTATTTAGCTCAATTGTTGGGGATAAAATGAGCAGATGAACTTTGGTTTTTATCCTTATAACCTGTTTGGTCAAACTTTTTTTCTGGGCCAAAAGTGTTTTTTTTTTTTTTTTGCCAAAAGCACTTTTGGCCAAAATTAAGGTGTTTGGCCAAGTTTTTGGAAGAAAAAAAAGTGCTTTTGAGGAGAAGCAGAAGCAGTTTTTAAGAAGCAGAAAAGAGTAGTTTCTCTCCGAAAGCACTTTTCTGAGAAGCACTTTTGAGAAAAATACACTTAGAAGCAATTTTCAAAAGCTTGGCCAAATAGTAATTACTGCTCAAAAATAATTTTCAAATTATTTTTAGCCAAATAAAACCACTTCCCACCAAAAGCACTTTTTTGAAAAGTACTTTTGAGAAAAAGACTTCTCAAAATAAGCTGATTTTAGAAGCTTGGCCAAACAGGCTATCAGTGTTTCTTAATATTAGTTAACTAGCAACAAAAATAACATACCTACCCAGTATACTCTTATAAGTAAGGTTTGAGAAGGATAGTGTGTAAGCTAACGTTACTCCTATCTAGTGGTGAAGCTAGGAATTTTTTCAAGGGTGTTCAAATTTGAAAGAAGTGAAAATAAATTTCCGACAAAAGGTGTTCAGTATGTATATACCTCTAAAATATAATATTTTACCTACATACACAGGGTAATTTTTCGACTAAAGATGATCAATTGACCACCCTTGTGACCTTGTGGCTTCGCCACTACTCCTATCTTGTGCAGATAGAAATGCTATTTCCAAAAGACCCTCGACTCAAGTAAGCACAGTAAACATCATAAGTTGACTTGGCTATATTTGTTTACACATACTTTGTTGGATGTGTGCTTGAAAATAGCCCCAAATGACCATACAAAAAAGAATGAAAGGGAGAAGAAAATTGGATTTTGACAAAATAACAATGAGTAGATTTTGTGAAAATAATATGTTTTGTAGACCCCAAAAGAACCTCATTTTGATCTTATTCATCTTATGAAAAGTCAAGTGGTGTTATACTAATTTTTCTTATGATGAGGGCAGATATAATATTTTGATTACTATTACGGAAAAAGATGGTGATGATATAACATAACGTTATCATGAAGTTACAGTACTTCAGTATAAACTCCATAATTGGCAAATGTTATAAATAAATAAAAAACAAGATTCTTAAATCCGGCTGAAGAAGTATCTATATTTTGTCAAACGGATAATTGTTATTAGTATTATTAAGATTATTAGTAAGTTGACTAGAAAATAGTGAAGCAAGCTTCGATATTAAGAATGCTAACATATCTTTTTGTTTCAAACATTTTGTTTTTCAGTTATAATTTGATAATGAAGAAACTGTTATGAAATACTTGATTATGGTGGATGTTCATAACTTCTAAGGGAGTAACACCCACTACTCTTCTCCATTAACCTCTCACTACTTCTTACCATTATGGATGTAACTCCCACACCTCCATGATCTTCCCCCATGTTCTCAATCGTTAATACCATGTTTATGGCATCCCTTTGTATTACTTATATCATCCTATAAATAGAGGGTTTGGGCATCACATTGTACACACTTGAATACATGGAAGAAATAAGAATCTCTTCTCTCTTTCTCTCTATATCTCTACATTGTTGTCTATCTTTTTGTTTTATATTATTACTTTAAGCTAAGTTTCGTAACACGTTATCAGCACGAGTCTCTATCCAATTGAGTTACTACATCTACATAATTGTCTTGCATCAGAAAAAGCATATGTCTGCTGTGCCTGATATTCCTCTGGAAGAGATGAGTTTTTCTTTTCCATTTAGCAATTTCAAATAATGGTATGAAATATAATAAAAGGAATAACAAGGTTGAGGAGACTTGTACATCGTGAAAGGGCATATAATGCTAAGATACGTTTTCTAATTTTTTTTTTAATTAATTCATTTTCTTGTTAGTTTTTCTCAAAGGCTCTTTATTTGTCGGAAAAGTTTCCAATACTAAGTATTACTTTGTAAAGTTGAAAATACTTAGATGTAAATTAAGAATCTCTCCTCCCTTGCTCCCTACATTCTTGTCTATTTGCTTGTTTCATATTATTACTTTGAGCTAAGTTTCTTAACACGTTATCAGCATGATGCTTGTGAAGGAAATATTTACCATCAAATTGGTATGAAAAATTTATAAAGCACGACACTCGCCTTTCACCCACGGTGAACTCATGCTATTATCACATAGCTAACTGAAAGATATTCACGTCATATTACATCAGCTCTTGAAGAAATCAAAAGGATTTTGCTACTGGTTGGCTATATAATCTCTGTTCATGAAACTCCTAATGAGAGAAAGTACAAATTTATTGTTTCCTTGAGCTCATACCTAAAGATGTTATGTTATTAGCAGTAAGAGTATGTGGCTCTTAACCTGTGACAGTCTCACAGAAAATATATTAGTCCAAGGTAACTGATTACTATTATTATAATAGTTTTAAGAAGATATACTTATTTGTTTTTTTCTAGTTACTTTGATCTCATTATTGGCACAATAAAAATTAGTTGGTTATGGGCATTATGGCAAATTGTTACTAGAAATGCATGATAAAGACAGTAGTGAGCATATTAGTATGAGTATTCATATTAACTAGTATTGTTACTAGATGCATGCAGTACCTTTTAAGTTATGCTATGGCTTGTATAATTTAGTGATTACATAATATTAGGTAACTAGACATATTGACGGTTTAGACATATTTTAGTGTTATAATATATGATTTTCATCAAGGTATTATGATAACTTTATTTCATATTTGTGAACTAGTTCGCTTTGTTTAAAAACTACCAAACATAACATTTGAGTTGGGTTACAGAGATGTTGATATCTAATTTTTGGCCAACACTACTTTTATTGCTTATGTAGCGTGGAATAATTATTTCATATGTCATCAAATATGATAACATTGGTTGAGGGTAAGACGGTGGGTCCAAGTCCCATCGCACTATGAAAATAAGATATCGGGTTTAAGGCCTGGTGCATCATGATGATAAGAGTTGGGTTTGAGTCCCAATTCATTATAAACTAACATGCTTTTATATGGGTAAGGCAGTGGGTTTGAGTCCCAATGCACCATATTGATGATATAATGATGACTAATGGAAAATAATATATTTTTCATGAAAAAGCATGAAATTTGTCCCACTTGATTTGCTCCATTCTTGAAGTGAATATGATAGCGATGCATAATAAGTCTAAATGAAGACAATTGGTTGACCAATGAACGTGGGTGTGCCAAAGACAATAATAATAGTCATCATTATGGTAATTGTAAAAATGAGAACAATAAGGGTTCTCAAAATGTGAAGGTGATGTTTGCCATCAATGTGGTATGAAAATAATAAGCATGCTCATATGATTATAGTCCACTTGAAGAGAATATGACTTGTGATATGCATTGTAAAAGCAAACTCATTCTTGAAAGTGAATGTGAAAATATATATATATATATATATATATATATATATGTGTGTGTGTGTGTGTGTGTGTGTGTGTGATTCAAATAATGCATAAGAAATGACTATGCAAGATTGACTGAATACCACAACTCACCTCTAAGGGAGGTTTTAGACAAAATTGTCACGACCCGGATTTCCCACCATCGGGATCGTGATGGCGCCTACTCGTGGTAGCTAGGCAAGCCAACTTATTTACCTTTTCATCACTAAACAATTAATTTAGCAGTTTATAACAGCAATTTAGAACTTGAAGTTTAACAAGAATAATAACGGAAGTCTGATTTATAAAAAAAAAACGAATCAAAACGCAAAACCGTCAATAATAGCCTCTACCCAAGATTTGGTGTCACATTACTCACGAACCACTAAGAATAAACTAAATACAAAGGTCTGAAAGAAATATAACAGCTATCTGTCTCGAAAACAATAAGGCAACAGTCAAAATGAAAACATAGAGAAGAGACGCCGGGCCCTGCGGACGCCTGCAAGGCTACCTCCGTCTCGTGAATAAGAAAGTCTGCTCCCGAACTATTGCTGCTGCTCCTCAAAACCTGGACCTGTACAAAAATGCACAGAAGTGTAGCATCAGCACAACCGACCCCATGTGCTGGTAAGTGTCTAGCCTAACCCCGGCGAAGTAGTGACGAGGCTAGACTGGACACCACATAAACTTGTGCAGTTATAAGTATACAGCAGCAATCGAATATATAAAGCAGTCACCAACATGGGAGGGAAAACATGCTATGGGGAGTTACAACAATAACAATAATCCAGAGTAACAAACTAAAGCAACTTAGAATTTACAGCGAGCAAGAATCTAATACCAACAATAAGCACATTTGTATCAATAACTGTTGCGGCGTGCAACCCGGCCCTTAATTACCATTGTTGCGGCGTGCAACCCGCTCCACAATATCATTGTTGCGGCGTGCAACCCGACCCATTTCATTTATCATGTATCATTGTTGCGGCGCGCAACCCGATCCTCACATATTATTGTTGCGGCGTGCAACCCGATCCTCAATATCATTGTTGCGGCGCGCAACCCGATCCTCACATATTATTGTTGCGGCGTGCAACCCGATCCTCACATATTATTGTTGCGGCACGCAACCCGATCCTCACATATTATTGTTGCGGCGCGCAACCCGATCCTCAATATCATTGTTGCGGCGCGCAACACGATCCTCAATATCATTTAACAGTCCGACTCCCCA